TCACGTTTTATAAAATAAAATCGAACGTGAATTCGATGATGGTTTAATATAAATTATCTTTGTTTAGATCGTAAATTTTATATTTTGAGAAATAAACGAGTAAACACATATTAATTATTTATTTTCATTCAAATACTATCATCTTATCTCAAACAGGAACGAACGAGAAAAAAGCATGAAAAAGTATGAATAGCAAAAACGAAAGAAAATGATGACGGATGACGGATGAATTTAATTGAACCGTAATTTTTTTTGATTTATTATTATATTTTAACGATTTATATTTGGCCAACTTTTTCAATTTTTCTATCGTATCATCGATATCGTTAATGTATATGCAAAAGAAAGATTTTAAATTAACAATTCGAGATTGTGAAAAAAAGGAAATGATAACGAACGAATCGATACTTTTTCATCGCAATAATTTTTTAAAAATTATCGAATAATTTATAGTTTTTAATTCCTTATTGGGATTCGTTAAAATATAAAAATCGGGCAGTCGATCGATGATATTAATTTTATTCTAATTACGGATATACTTTTAATCACGATCGGTTATTGATATTAAAATGGCGATTGAAATTTTTATTTTTTTTTTAAATTTTAGAGAAACGAATGAAGAAACGAATGAATTGAAAATGAAATATAAGTATCGAGTAATCATTAATTAATTAATTATACAAATAGATAGAAATAGATCTTGATTTATAAGGTTTTATGAATCTACGAATCGGTAATAACCACGAAACATCAAAAACGTTAAAATTCGACAAATAATTCGTAATTCGTACGAAAAAAGAATAGATACAACTTGTATTTGGGAGCGGCAAAAAGACTGCTCTTCTTATCAAAATCTAATTTGACAAGGAACACGATTCCGATAATCGATTTTCTTTTTATTCCTCGCGAGAAGAAAGTGTAAAAATATATGTGCAATTTTTCTTTTTTTAATCAACACTCAGTGATCGGTCAGTCTCAAATTTGGAAGATGAAATATCATCTCGACTATCGAAAAATATAATTATAAATTTAACGGTAAAAATCTTAATATTAAGAAATCTTAATATTCCTTATAGCCTTCTAATCGCTGTGTAATTTAATAACGACGGATTAAAAAAAATGAAATAAAAAGAGAAAGAAATGGATTATCTATATCTTCGATACGCTTTACGATGATATCTTTTCGTGTAAAAAAATAACGATTTCAGTCAATATTATACGGCACTTTCGATTACTTTTTAGTAGGCTCTATGTTTACTTTGATCTCGCAAAATTCATTTTCTACGTTAAAACGTAGAGTTTACGTGCTAAAGAAACGTATAAATTATTTCAAATCAATCGATATTTTGAAATTGAAATTATAGAAATCTTTCTCAACGAAATTTTTCACAATTCCTTTTCTTTTTCTTTTTAAGAATTTAAGATTTTTTTTTATATAGTCTATATAGTTTTATACAGTTTCGTAAAAATTCAAAAATCAAATATAATTTGTACGCGAAATTGTCTAGATATTCGCAAATACGTACTATTCGGTGCGTCTTCGATCCGAATTAAAATGTAGCCAATATAAAAAAAACATCGATTAAAAATTATATTTTATTTTGCAAATTAAAAACTGACGATAAATTACGCAATTAAAAAAGAAATTAGAGAATTAAAAGAAACGAATCGGTTGTCTTATTCTTTTGATTATTGTTCCCTGCAATATTGGCACTTGATAGTCTCGTATTGAAAAACGTGTAATCATAATCGAGGAAAAGGGGGGGGGGAGGGGGAAATGAAATAGTAATGGGATGGTAAAATTTGTATGTAAGGACGGTTCAACGATTGAGACTTATTTCAGAAGGGTAGCGAAAAATTATAACGGATTCTTCGAATCGTGTTCCTTGTCGTTCGCGTTCATCTTTACGTTTATTTCATTTAAAAAATGCGGTACAAATGGTACTTACACGCATTTCAATAACCCTTTTTTTTTCTCTCCTCACTTTCTTCTCCTATTGGCAAAGCAAAATCTTTTTTGTATTTATGTTCTGATTGTTGCTCAAAAGACGCCGAGTTGCAACGAATATGCTATCCATTTCGAAAAAATATTTAAATATCATAGTATCGATCCTTTATGATTTTTTTCTAAAGTAAGGCCTAACGGTATAGGTACAGTGGTCACAGAAGCGCACACACTTTCAATATCATTTTAAAAAACGGTTTCTATCCTTTTTTTTTCCTTTCTTTCTTTCTTTCTTTACCTCGATATCGATAACACATTTTCGCAATATTTTTCTTTTCATCGAGGAACGTATCACTATGTGAAGAAGTATAGAAGTAACGATCGCGGTTGAAATCGTAATCGCGACGCGGCTTTTTTTTTTTAGGCTTCGATTTCTAATCCGTCGCTCATAGTGTTACACGTCGAATAGCGCTACTATCCATACGCTCGTAAATCATTTTTCGTTTTAGAACTGTCTTTCACCGATAAATCACATCTCGATACCTTTCTCTCGAC